AAACCTTTACAAAAATAAAATATTGTTAGACCACATCGAAATCTGTCAAGTGATTTTCACAATGCCTAAGCATTCTCTGTCCAAAAAGATTCTCTCCTTCTTCTTTGCTCCTTTTTTTTCGCTTTTTTTCCGTAAAGTTGGTCTGGTTTCTGAGTTACCAGACCTGACAGACTTATAAACTGACACTATCACAAAAAGGCTAAGGCCCCACGATCTGCTCTGACAACCAACGATGATTTGATTGATCGACAAACTTTCTTTCGCACTATGTGAGACCGCAGTCGGTGGATCGTACGTTGTACGAAAGACAAAGATTATCGCTATGACCTAGCTCACCTTTGCAATAGATGTAAACACGATTTCTCCATCATTATACAACAAGCTGTTGGCTTTTTGCGTAACATGAGAATAGCATGGTCAGAGGTCTTATACTCAAGCCGGCGGTTTGCCTTTTCCAGATAAAGGACACAAAATCTGGAGACACTGCACGTGAGTAACCAGCATCTAGGTCACTGGAGAACTGACTCTTAATCATGCTGTAGCTGAGTGAAGATTGTCACAGAGTTATAGAGCATAAACAGAGCACGTAGATGAGATGAACGTTGGTGAGCAAATAAAAGCTGGTTGAGCTGTATCCTCTGATGACCCGGCTCAAAATGGCCGCACCTCGGATGGTGGAGGTCTTCGTGGTCTCTGTTTCTCCTGGGAACTCCTTGGTGACGCCAGCTCGTCTCTCGCTTGTAAGTTATAACCCTAAATAGGGCGGCACTTAAAGCGTGTATCCAGCGGTGGCAGATGTTGAAATTGGGGGCTGCGGCATATTCGAAACTCTTGCGATTTTACCAAAAGTCACTCCCTTGTGGTCTACACTTGGAGGTTAATAATCATAAACATCATCCTGAGCGACAGGAGTGTACATCATCCCTAAACTATTTTTTATTTCCTAGCGACACTGATACATGTCTGATTCGTTTTGCACAAAGTAGATTGTTTCATTATACGAGGGTTGATCTCTAACGCTTCGCCCCTGACACCATGTGCAAATGCTTATTTGTCGGATGTTTCTGAAAGTAGTGGCTTTAGACTGCATTAACAAAATAATAAGTTTGTATGTCAAACTGTGCTGAAGTTTTGCACTATGGAGCCCATCTACCAGGAGAACCGACAACAGTGCTATTCGTACTGTAAAAACAACTTCGAAACTTGAGTAGAAGTGGTGCTTTGACAGGGTTGCTATGATCCTCTTGCTGTGAATAGTCGGTTTGTGAAGAACTGTTGAAATACCTTCCGTTGTGCGCTGATGAATTGTATAACGCAGGGAAACAGCAACATGCTCAATACTTGGAATTCCTGCTATTCTCCAAAATACTGGTGAAAAACTCAATCCCCTGTCCAGAGGCCGGCCAGATTTATGGATTAAGGCATTGAAGATAGAAGAATAACCAAAAGATGCAAGAATTTGCTCCAGGCGTTTTAGAAAAAAACTGGTGGAACTAAACGTGTAGGGTCACTCGCGAAAAGCGTGACTTATAAATATGGAAACAGAAGCTATTAGTAAAACCTGCAAGTTTGCAACGAGGTGATTAGCTAGTAAGGCCTTACTCGGGAGATTTCACGATTTAGTTTAGTATCAGCACAAGTTCGTTTGAAATTGAAATTTTTACTTACTTCAGACAGCACTTCGATCACTGCGCCCTCGGTCAGGCGCCAAGTTTTGGGATCGTTTTTTCACATTTCGCTGGTTCCCTTGGATAGGCACTTTTGGTTCACGTGACAAGGATCTTAATACAAACGTATCCCGTTAAGTCTAAAATGGCTGCAAAAAAAGAAGAGTATGGCGCCTACTGCAAAATATTATAGGGAATATTGAAGGATGTGAAGCAGCAGTCATACGCTGGGTGTCGCAATTTTAAGTGCGGAAAGATATCTTGTGAAGAACAACATGACTGTGGACCTCCTATAACGGCATTGACTGACCAAAATATTAAATTCGCTGTAAGTACATTATGCACACTTAATCTAAAAATTTCGAGTTACTTTCAAAGAAAAACTTCGAGGAAAGGTAACAGAAGTATTATCCACATTTACTAGTTATGGCCCCAGTAATTTCATAACATTTCCAAAATTAAACCAAAATTTTCGAGGAAATAAATGTTCAAGTAACAACAGGTAGAGAAGCATTTTTCAGTATTCGTACAATATTTTTATAGGGATGCTATTGAAATCTGAAGCACTGGTTAGATCATTCTTTTCAAGTCTGCTAAAAATTAAATAATATTTGGGAAAATCGTTCTGTGACTCAAGAGTGCTCCTCAGTATGTGCTGAAAATCGTGTCGAATACTGAAGTATCATGGAGTCACTCTGTACGATGCAAACTATATCCAAAGTTTGGGTAGCAGGAAGACTGGTACGTACAGTTTTCTACTTGAGCTTATACAAAATAAATAGATGCCGGAGTTTATGCCGGAGTTTGAGCTGTTACCTAGTTTCTGAAAGGAAGCGCAGGTATGATTTATAAATGATATAAAGGCAGCCATAGTGATTTAACTGCATATAGCAAAAACGAAAGGCCTGTAAGCTATCACTGCCTGAGGAACAGTTATTTGGTGCAGTTTAACGCTTGGAGATACAGGATTGTCTATGGACGGCCGAGCTTTGCTTGGAAGCGATACGTTCAGACTTGATATAGCTGCCAACTGACGCATTAATTCATGATAAAAAAGGGTAGAAACCAGTTCAACCTAAAGATTTTTTATATGAATATGTCTCTTCTAATGAAGGTGGAAGTATTTCAAGAAGTACCTTATACTTATAACCATCGAAATAGACATAATTATTTTTTAGAGTCATATGGAAATAAAGGTCTCGATTTGTGCATTAATACTGTAAAAGTGCTCTCTTCTTGCGATTGACTAGTACATTTTTTTGAAAAGGAATGGCATTAAAACACTGAAGAAGTAATGCGTTCCGCCTTCATTTGCAAAGCATCGAGAGACTGACATTGACATGAAATGGCTACCCTCATTGTATATGAGAACATGCTAACAAAAGTCCTACCATCAATGCAAAGCCAGTTGCTCAAGTTATAGAATATTGAAGGAAGAAAGAAGAAATCAATAAAAATAATGGGTAGATACGATAAATAGGACATTAGGTCCAAGGGCTTATACTGTTAGCTTGGTATGAATATACAGGGTGTACTCAAATTTATTGACTTTTCTTTACGAGAGAATAGGCAATAATAACTAAATTTTCCTAATAACTCATATACCAGAGCCTTAACGTAACGAGATATAAGTTCCGAAAAATCTAAACTAAACGGGCCAGCGCTACCCAGCGTCCCCTCCCCCTCCTCCTTCCCCTCCTCCTCCGTGAAAGTGTATGATGTTTTGTTGTACGTAGTGTATGTGTATTGGTTAACCTACTTTATAAACAAGTCCCATTTGAAAAACTGAAATTGGCGCATTCCTAGAACAATCACGTAGTTATCGATTTGATTTTATCTTACTGTGAGCGACTTCAAAATCCTATTCATACTCCGCAAGTGTCTTTACAACGTCGTTCTCGATGTTTCCAACAGAGCGGCTTTGACTTGTTTATATCGTTTACTTATGGGTGGATACAGTAGAAGACCTAGACGGTTCCAAGTGCTGCAAATTTAGGAAAAAGTAGGAAAACTCATGTTTTTTAAACGAACAGCGACAACTTCAAAAACCATTTACAAATATACTGAGTGACAAAAAAAGGTATGTTGATCCGATTTTAATAATTTTTGGCATATATGTTCAGTGTCCGTTACTAGTAAAATGATTAAATGTCCAACTTGATTCGTCAACTGCCTGCAGAAGCTGGTTCATTAATGCGTTGAGGATCCTTCTTATACACTCATCGACACGCCTGGGCGTCGTGCTGATAAGGTGGTCAATAACCTGTTGGGGTATCTCATTCCAGACTACTGCAACTTCGTGAGTAAGAGCACTAAAGCCTAACTAGTGTGTTGCAAATTCAAGAGCCTGCGACATATCTGGTGCCAGACATGCTCAATTGGAGATAGGTCAGGCGATCGTGGAGGCCAAGGTAATAGGTTGATGCGATGTTGATCCATGAAGGCTAACGATGCTCTGGTAATATGCGGTCTGGCATTGTCTTGCAGAAAAATCTGATTTTGGATAGTGTTTTGGTATGGAATAAGATGAGGTTCCACTACTTCCTGAATATAGCGTCGGACTGTCATATTGTCTCTGATAAGAACTGGTGGTGATCTGCTACCATAATCAATAGCACCCCATACCATAACTCCCATGGTGTGGTGAACGTGACGGTTTCTGTCAAATTGTGGGTCACGTCTTTCAAGACAAGACAATTCGACTCCTCTCAAAATCACCCGACGAACTCAATGCACTCTAGGCATTTTGAACAATCACAAAAAGGCTTCTCAATAAGCTACACGAAACTTAACATTTAACTGGCACCACAGCCTGTTCAGATGAGGCGTTTTGACTCGCGCGTAGACACTCGCGCGTTCTCGAGATACTATAGACACAATCATCCCGTCCAGATGCAGATGCGTTTTACAACTCGCGCGTAAAACGCGTGCAGCCAGCGAGACTCTCGACTCGCGCGTTTTACGCGTTTTACGCGCGAGTCGAGATACATTGGGTGGCATTGCGGCGTCCAGTACTTCCCGCGCTTTGGTGGCTATAGGACGTATTTAGTAGAAAATGGAGCGTCATAGCTTTGATACCGAACTCTTCATTGATGAAGTGGAGAAAAGAGCAGCCATATGGGATATGGAGTCAGCCGATTATGCAAATAGAGTCATAAAACGTAGGAACTGCGAAGAAATAGTTGAAATTTTTTTCCGAAGAAAAGAAAAAACTTTAGGTGAATAGTTTAATATTATTTCTCAGATTACATAGGTGTACATAGGTCACTCATATTTATGACTATTTAACTATATCATCTTATCTTGCCAAGGGAGTTTGCCTTCATTAACAAAATAATCAGCGAATTTGTCTCTTGTATTCAGCGATCTCGCATTAGTCCTCACTGCATCAGTATTAAAATTGATCAAAGATGTTTCGTATAGAGTGTGGTCATATCTATAACCATCCCTCAATCTTACGTAATTAAGAAGGACACAGCAAGCTTTAATAATATTTTCTGCAAACTCTATGTCTACATTCAACGGTCTATGGAATATTCTCCATTTATTCACCAATATGCCAAAGCAACATTCAATGTAACGCCTTGCCCTGGATAAGCGATAGTTGAAAATTCTTTTCTTGGTTGTTAGAGATCTACCACAATAAGGACGCATTATGTTTTCAGACAGACTGAACGCCTCATCTCCTACTATCACATGGGGTAAAGGAGTTATATCTGTTGGCGATATTGGTTTTGGGTCTGGAATATCTAAAGTTTTCTCGACAAGTTTTTTATAAAAATCAGAATCTTTAAAAATTGTGGAGTCATTACTTTTTCCATATGCGCCGATATCAACTGCAATGAAACAATAATTTGCATCGCATACAGCCAACAAAACAGTTAAAAAATAATTTTTATAGTTATAAAAAAGAGACCCAGTATTGTTAGGTTTTATAATACGGATATGCTTGCCATCAATCGCACCAATACAATTTGGAAAGTTTGTGTATTTTTGAAATTGTTGCGAAATTTCTTCCCATTTATCCTTCGTAGGTTCGCTCATTACTATATTGTGCAGTTTTTTCCATATGACGTAACAGGATTTCTGTACTATTTCCGTAACTGTGGATTTTCCCAATCTGTAGGCATAATGCAGGTCCGCAAAATAACATCCGGTAGGCAAATATCTGAAACGAAAGTAGGGTTATTATTTTTTTAGTAGCTAAGCATGAGAATACATGCATAAATATTCAGTTTGACCATTGTAATCCTTTTATTGATTACAGGGAATTCACTTCAACAGAAGTGGAAAGGGTTGCGTGATGGCTTTGTAAGAGAACTGAAGAAGAGGAAAACCACACCGTCTGGATCAGGAGCCTCTGGTAATGGCAAATATATTTATTTTGAACGCTTGATGTTCCTCTAACGATCAACACGAAATAAAACGACTGACAGCAACATCAACACCACGCCTCGTGCAACTGAACAACAGGACCTTTCTGGCAATGGGGAAGATGTAACAAGACCTCCAGTTCCTCAGGCAAAAAAGAAGAAAAAACTAGATGCGGCCGACGAAGAATTTCTCACCATCATAAACAAAGATTTTCTGTCTGGAAATCAGACGCAGACATTAAACCAAGCGGAGTCAGATGATGATAAACTATTTTGTTTGTCGTTACACAAGGAGCTTCTTAAAGTACCAGAGGAAAACAGACTTCAAACAAAAATTGAATTAATGAACGTACTCCAAGCTCACCAAGCCCTGTGTCATAAATGCTCAGCTGTTCGTTCTGCCTACCCGCCTTCAACACAATATCATTATCAAGCAGATATGACACCACGCGGACAAATAGATCATTTTCAAGAAACAGGATATAACGCAATAGACCCTTCAACATCTTCGTTTGCACCTGCAACCTTTTCGACTTACAATAGAGGTTATTACACTGCGCAGCGCAATACTCCACCAACGACGTCTGCCTACAATAATCCAACAACCACATCACCGGCATCTGCTCAATGTTCACGAGAATCTGAATTGACGGAACTGTATGAATAACTAAAAATATCAAGTACCTACCTATATTTATTAGAATGATTCCTAATTTTGTGTTCACATTATTATTTATTTTTGATTTTTAGTTTTAAGGTACAAAATTTTTAAAGGCATTAAAAAATAAAAAATATTACCTCAAAGTGAGTTTTTCTTCTGCAGAAACAGTATCCCGTACCAAATAATTTTGACATAGAGTCAAACCATTTTGAATAATTTCTAGTAACTCATCGGACGATGTTACTGACATCCGAAAGTAGTTGAAAAACTTTTCATTGTGTCCTCTGAGCTTTGGGTATAATGATATAAACATGCTATGCGTCATTCTATCACGTAGAATTGGATGCACGTTAAATCGTCGACTTTCTCTTCGCTTACGACGTTTCCATCGACGATAAGCAAGCCACAACACAACCGCTCTATCCAAGTCCATATTTATAACTGCCTGTTTGTCAGGAAATCCCTCCCTGCGTAGAAACGCGCGTAAAACGCGGTATCTGGAAGCAATATAAATTGACTCGCGCGTAAAACGCCTTATCTGAACAGGCTCTAATGTACGAAAAATGAATGCTTCTTTATCACCAAACAATACACGCAGCCACCACAAAAACTTAACAGAAAAACCTGACCAGTTTATCAGTTGAATTCTAATAAACATACGTAGGTGTTTACCTTTTTTGTCACTCCTTCCACCGCAGTTGTTTCTGAAAAGGAAAGTCCCAATCATCAGGACACCTTGTATACTCTGGGTAGCCAATCAATCCTAATATACACCAAATTCTACTCTTCGAGTTGGACGATGGAACAGTTTCGCCAAGTAAGAGAACTTACAATCCACCTTTCTTTTCCGTCAGCTCTCATATTCTCAACTCTAATACCTAGCAACACGACTCAAAATGACGTTGATGGTATTGTGTGTCATTAGACGAAGTCATCGTTAAATGAATAAGATATATAGTCAAAGCATCATTATCTGCTGAGCATACGACCGAGCTGTAACTACAAATGGAATTGAAAAGCGAAAAGGCTTGAAGGGACCTTGTTAGTATACGCTAATGGTATTTCTCGTGAATGTATATGAGGGAGGTTATTAAACTGGAAAATCGTGTCAGGTAGATTAACTTCTCACGAAATAATATTAAAGTTGAAACAAGGAAGAGGTTCTTTTGATCTCTTGACATACTTTTTTACTGAAAACCTCTTTTGAAAATGTTGCAACGCGACGTCCTTCATTAAATCTGATACGTTCACCTTCTTGTATGTTCGAAAAATCATGTCAGCTGTCGGGAAATTAACCTATGTCTTACGCTCTACAGGGTGTTCTTGAAATTGACACTTCCATTCACATGGCGTGTAGTTCTTGTAAATATACTAAGTGACATATAAATCCGAACACCCAGTTTAAATGGTTTTATTTTAATAAAAGTTGGTGAATGTATTTATCTTACTGTAAATAACAAGTGAAAAAATTTTCAGCCTTATCAGTTGGACATTCCGGTTTTTATACTGCTTTTTTTTAATTCACTAACGCTCTAAAAATTAATATTTCAGCCGCAGTAAAGAATCAACGTTGGCAGATTTTGGTTCTTGACATCCTTTACGATCGGTTACGATGCCTAGAGTACGGAGATCTGTACGATTTCGTCAACTTAGTGAGTTTGATAGGGGCCGTATAGTGGGACTTCGGGAAGCTGGACTTTCTTTTCGGGCAATTGCAGTTAGAGTGCGAAGAAGTGTAGACACTGAGCAAGGGGCACTGGACGCCGCCGTAGAACAACAGACCGTGAAGATAGCCGCCTAAGATTATTGGCCTTAAGGGACCGTTTCTCCACTACCAGGTCCATTGCAAATGAATGGTTTGCAGTACACGGAAGACCTATTGGCATTCGAAGTGTTTACCGACGAATGAGAAGTTTTGGCTTGTTTTCATACCAGCCACACTGGGTCCTCCCTTTACCTCGAGAACACCGACGTAATCGCCTTGAGTGGTGCAGACAACGGTCACTCTGGGATCAGGAATGGAACAGTATTGTCTTTAGTGACGAGTCTCGATTTTGTTTAGGCATGCACGATGGTCGTGCCAGGGTTAGAAGGCGACGTGGTGAAAGGAGGAATCCACAGTTTTTTGTTGAAAGACATGTTCATCACACTGTTGGAGTTATGGTTTGGGGTGCTATAGCTTATGGTTCCAAGTCACCATTAATCTTCATCAGAGGTAACATGAACGAGCAGCGTTATATCCACGAAGTTCTAGAACCCCATCTTTTACCCTATCTTGACACCCTGGCAGATCCAACTTTCCAACAAGATAATGCCCGACCACATGTTGCAAGAGTCACAATAGACTTCTTTCAACATAATGATGTCACATTGTTACCATGGCCACCAAGATCTCCCGACTTATCCCCAATTGAGCACGTGTGGGATATGATGGGTAGGAGATTGCTCAATTTGCAACGTCCTCCTCAGACTCTAGAAGCACTTCGAGAGGAGTTGGTGGAATGAGATACCTCAGGAGGACATTGACCACCTGATCAGAAGCATGCCTAGGCGCGTTGGAGAATGCGTAGCACATCAGGGTGCATCCACACATAATTAAAGGTCAAAGGGCTTTAAAGCAGTGCAATCATTTTGAATTTTTTATCATTTACTTATTATGCTTCATTAAGTACTTATACAAAATTTTATTAAAATAAAACCATTTAAACTGGGTGTTCGGATTTATATGTCACTTAGTATATATGCAACTTTTCATAGCAACGCGTACACCAGTTTTAAGTTAATCGACCTAAGTGGCAGTTACTTCAAAGTTAAAGTAAATAGTGAGTAAACACAGGGCTCAGGGACAAGTAGTATTGTGGAAACTTGGATGAAAAACAAAGAATAATCGTTGACGTGTCCTCAATAAAGGAACAGGAGCAGAAATAGAAGGATCGGTAGTACGAGAGTCGCACGTTTCACCTCAGTGGCTTCATCAGGCACGTGCACCGAAAACACCGAACACATATGCCCATCACACCTGGATACAGCGCCCGATCTAGGGGGGGGGGGGCAAGCCGGGGCGGCAAAAATGAGGGCGGCACGGCGTCGGTGGCGAAAATTTGAACGATGGTTAAATAAAACAAAAAAACACACCCTACACAAAAGTTGTTATAAATTTCACATCATATTTTTGTAGATCACAAAAATAAAATGTGGTTACACTGCGTCCTTCAAGCTATGCTAGATGCTTTGCAGGATGGTGCATACAGCACGATCGGGCATGATGGCCGTGCGCGGTCGCGCGGACGCGGATGGACAGCAAGATGAATGGTGCGTAGAGGCCCTTAGTTTCCTGGGATTGGCAACACTGGTTGCATGCAACGGGGGATTCCCCTAGGTCTGTCTTCTCATCTATAAACATTCAAAGATACAAATACATTTCTTTCCCTCACGCTAGTCAGTTGCAGTTTCTTTATACCTCTGTTGTTTTCTATTCTATCAATTTAATTTAACGCCTATCTTTATCTACCTTACGAGATTATAGAAGTATTGAATTAATTAAAGTTAAAGTTCGAAAGTCCTAAAACTGAAAATTGGATGTTAGTGGCAGACAGATGAATCATAAAAATATGCGATTGTTATGTGTGACGAGACTACTAAGTAAGTACTACCCTCTCTATAACACTTGTTTATAAAAATAAACAGTGTCATAAAAAATTGTGAATAAAGAATAAAATTTATTTTTGAAATGTACCGTGTTGGGTATCAAATGTAAGGGCTTCATTAACACATACGAGTATATAGGGTGACATTTAATTAACTCTTTTCAGCTTAAGGGGTCAATGTACTCATGTATACGACCTTTACTATGGGACCAACTTAGAAAACGCGAAAAAAAAAATCAGCTGCTCTATAATTGTAAAATGACAATCCGGTCGTCCAAAATGTATGGAACAGCTGATTTTTTTGCGCGATTTAGAAGTTGGTCCCATAGTAAAAGTTGTTCGTATACATGAGTGTATTGACCCTTTAGGCTGACAAGAGTCAATTAAAAGTCACCCTATATATATATTACTAGCTAGTGTTCCTGGGTTTATTTGAAAAATGATTAAAATAAAATAAAAAGTTGATTATTGAAAAAATCGGGCTTTGAAAAGTACGACACAAGCAAATATTCTAGGAAAACCGTGGTCGCATACCACCTTGCCTTACAATATGAGCGACTATGAGGGTCTACATAACCTAAGGCAAGATGGCAGGTGACCACGGTTATCCTCTAAATATCCAAATCCACTAAAGTATATTTGCTTGTTTCGTACTTTTCAAAGCCCGATTTTTTGCGTAGTCGGGTTTTAGTTTATCAACTTTTTATTTTTTTGTGTGACAGAATGTCTGATTTTAGAGCACGCTTGTTGGGCTACCAATACAAAAAACGACGGCTCGAAGAAGCAAGAAACTGACGCAGCATCTGCGTCTAAACCTCATGATGAAGATACGCTGAATATAATTTGTGAACCTTCTGCTTCTGAGTCAAGTGCTGTTACAGATGCTATTGCCATTGCAATTGCAACTACAAATATTTCAGCAGACACAACGTCACTTTGAGATACCGATCCAACAACGTGGCCTAATAGACTAACAGATGCAGAAAGAATATTTTTAGTAAATCGAGGTTTCCCTAACCCACTGTATGAATTTGAATTTAAAAGATAACAAAGGACGAAGGTTTAGTTCAAGGTATTACAAGGGAAAACTTAATAACTGTGAACAAATTTTGAGAGACTGGCTTGTCTATTATAAAGCAAAAAATGTTGTCTATTGTTTTTGCTGTACAATTTTTAATGTAACTTCTTCCGATATATCTAAAGATGGCTACAACGATTGGAAACATTTAGGTGATACTCTTAAATCTCACGAGATATCACGAAGTCACTTAGAAGTTGTAAGATCTTGGTTTGAACTTTCGCGTCGGCTCAAGTTGTCGCATACGATAGATGCCGAATCTCAGAGAATAATTAATTCAGAAATAAACCTTTGGAAGAAGTCTTGTTACTTATTGTCTCCGTCATCAGAATGTTAGGAAGAAGTAACGAAGTCACTTAGAAGTTGTAAGATCTTGGTTTGAACTTTCGCGTCGGCTCAAGTTGTCGCATACGATAGATGCCGAATCTCAGAGAATAATTAATTCAGAAATAAACCTTTGGAAAAAGTCTTGTTACTTATTGTCTCCGTCATCAGAATGTTAGGAAGAAGTAACTAAGCTTTTTAGGGCACTTCTGAATATCTATATCAACATAACAATGGTAACTTTTTGAAACTAGTAGAGTTGTTAGCCGAATTTGATCCTGTTATGCAGGTACACGCACGCAGGGTTTTAAAGTAAGAAGAGAGACAAGCAACCTACCTAAGTAAAACTATTCATAATGAGCTTATTGGTACAATATCGGACAATATTAAGTCACAGAAAGTCGCGGATTTTTTTTTTCAAATTGTCTTATAAAGCCCATTGAAACCAAAATAGTTGGTTGTGTACGAGCAGATTTTTTTTTAATATAATTTTGATAATAAATTTTGCTTAGAGCAGGATTTTATACAACAAGCACATTGTAAGTATGGAAGGTAAGGAGGAATAGCACTTATATAATAAAGTTTATTCCACTAACTACAGAAATATGGAGGGTGAGGAGGAGTAATACTAGCATAGTACGATTTCTAGTAAATAATTTCTACTAGATTCCGTGTCTCTTGTCTACCAATTAAAAAAATATATTTTTTAAATAATGATTTTATCAAAGAAAATGAGTTTATTT